ATTTTCGAACCTCAACAGCTCCAGTCCTGCCCAGTAAAGACCCCTGCTACCCGTCACCATGCGGGCCCAACGCCTACTGCCGATCGGAGAACGACTACGCGATCTGCGAGTGCGTGGCCGAGTACCACGGCAACCCCTACGAGGGTTGCCGGCCGGAATGTCTGTCCAACTCGGAGTGCGCCCCTAACACGGCCTGTATCAGCAACAAATGCCGCGACCCTTGCCCAGGAACGTGCGGCGTGAATGCGGTCTGCACCGTCACCAATCACATGCCCATATGCTCGTGCCAGCAAGGGTATTCTGGGGATGCCTTCAGATATTGCAGCCTCATCGTTGCTGGTAAGCGACGTTACTCCAGCCTCACAGGCCTTGGTGCCAATCGGCTATGTGGTGTTTGCAGAGCCCCCACGAGACCCTTGCAACCCGTCTCCATGCGGCATCAACACGGTGTGTAGAAACTCCAAAGACTCTGCGATCTGCGAATGTGTGCCTGGGTTCTTCGGCAACGCCAACCTAGGTGGGTGCCGGCCAGAATGCACCATTAGCTCGGACTGTCCGAGAAATCAAGCCTGTGTGAACACGCGATGTGTGGATCCGTGCCCTGGAGTGTGCGGCTTCAATGCCGACTGCCATGTCATCAATCATAGTCCTGTTTGCAGCTGCGTTTCGCCTCTCGTTGGTGATCCCTTCACGCTGTGCAGTGAGCCGGTAAGTTTTGGGCGGATGAGTAGGTTCCAGTGGAGCAGCAAGTTTTCTTGCAGGTGGTCGCTCCTGAGCCAGACCCTTGCAGCCCGTCGCCTTGCCAAGCCAACGGCCAATGCCGTGTGGTGAACGGCGCCGCCGCTTGCACCTATCCAGAGTGTGTGATCAATCCGGATTGTCCCAGTGATAAGGCGTGCTATTTCCTCAAGTGCCAGGATCCTTGTGCGGGGGCCTGCGGCCTCAACGCCATCTGCCAAGTGGTCAACCATCAAAGTGTCTGCACTTGCCCGCCTGGATTCACTGGAACCCCTGAAGTCCAGTGCCGATATGTGCCACCTGAACGTAAGGCTGTTGATGAGAATGTTCCAGTGGCAGAGGTTGATTGGGGTGGTTTTTCAGAGCCCCGACCCGCGCCCGAATGTACCGAAGACTCCCAGTGCAGCAACGACAAGGCCTGCGTGAACAGCCGCTGCCAAAACCCCTGCTCTACAGTGTCATGCGGGGAGAATTCGGAATGTCGCGCACAACTCCACCGAGCCGTCTGCACATGTAGAGACGGCTTTGCGGCCAACGCCCAACACGCTTGCGTAGAGATTGGGTGCCGCTCGGATTCCGATTGTGCGCCGATCTACGCCTGCATTAACCGGGAATGCGTCGATCCGTGCTCGTTCACCTCCTGCGGTCTCAACGCTTTATGTATAGCCGATGGCAACCACAAGGCCCGCTGCTACTGCCCCGAGACCTTCAGAGGCAACCCGCTGGTGCAGTGCAACAGGCCGGAATGCACCCGCGATGAGGAGTGCGCCTACAATCTAGCCTGTCGCAATGAGCGCTGTCAAGATCCGTGCAATTGCGGCCGGAATGCCGTTTGCAATGTGTTCGCTCATCGGGCGCAATGTTCCTGTCCACCTGGATACGTTGGGAACCCGCTGGAAGCGTGTGCGGTTCAAGTGTATGCAGAGGAACCGCAATGTAAGATCGATTCAGACTGTCCCAGCAAACTGGCCTGCTTTGGCGGCCTTTGCAAGAACCCGTGCATTGAGACGAAGCCCTGCGGGAAGAACGCGGAATGCATAGTGGTGGACAGTTTGCCCCTGCGAACCATGTCCTGCATGTGTTTGCCTGGGTATATTGGGGACGCCGATGTCGACTGCAAACGTGGTATGTATTTCTTTGGGTTTTCACTTTACATCATCGTTTTTTCGCTTGGGTGGCAACCCATCGCGTTTGGGGGGATGAGAGGCTGGTGATGTGTTCGTCAACAGTGGGGAAATCCGCACACTTTGCGCCAAATGGGGTTGCTAGCCCAGGCAGGACTCCGAAAGTTGATATTGAACATATTAACATATGTGGCGTCAACATCAGTGCCTGAAGAATCACCCTGTATATATTACCAAAGAAAAGTTTTGTAAATAGTTTCAGCTTTTGTATATTTCTTCCGCCCCTTCAGAATGATCTGCTATTTTTTGGCAATTTTTGTGTAAATATTTATTCCGGCCGCGAACTTCAGACAGCTGTAACGAACATTCCTGATACTTCTTCAGTTTCAGGTCATGGCCACTTACCTAACTCATCTAATTCCCCATCTAACAGCAGCAACACATTTTTTCAGCCTTCAAAGGTGATGGAGGTCGACCCTTGCAAACGTCCATACTCTTTACCCACATACCCTGTACGATTTATGTTACATCAACTGGGCGTTGTAAGGTCCGACCTCCATAACCCCGCCCGCTCCAAGCCGGGAAAAGTTTCAAAAACATTTTCCTCATAGCACCTACACTGGACGAACCCGGCTGTAGATCGCAGCAGGACTGTCCGCAGAGCGACTCTTGCATCAACCGGCAATGCGTCAATGCTTGCGTGGTTGGAAACCCATGCGCGCCTACAGCCGAATGCTCGGCCAATCACCACAAGGCCACGTGCACGTGCCCTACGCCTCTGATTGGCGATCCGTTCATCAGATGCTACCAACAGCCCGCACAGCCACAGCCCGAATGCACGCACGACGGCGAATGCTCCAGCGATAAGTCCTGCATCAATCAGCATTGCCAGGATGCTTGCGGCCTGTCCAACCCGTGTGGGGCCAATGCTGAGTGCCAAACCAAACAGCATAGGCCCACGTGTGTTTGCGCTGTAGGATGGATTGGAAATCCTCAGATTGCCTGCTATAAACGTAGGTGTTTGGTTCGCATTGTTTGCCTGTTGCTTTAATGGGTTTTATCCAATTCAGCCGAGTGTAAGATCGACGACGATTGCCCCTACAACAAGGCCTGCACCAATGAGAACTGCTTGAATCCATGCTCAAGCGTGTCATGCGGGCGAAGCGCCGAATGCGTGGCTCAGAACCATCGGGCTCAATGCCAGTGCCCTGCAGGCACTCAGGGCGACCCACTCCTAGCCTGCATAACTGGGCAGTGCCAGTACAATGAGGACTGCGCTGATCATGAAGCCTGCGACCGCCTCAACCGCATCTGCCGGCCAGTGTGCGATGCGGAAACCTGCGCTGCCACTGCGCAATGCTTAGGGCAAAACCACCAGCCCAAATGCTTATGCCCGGTAGGAACTGTAGGCAATCCGTTCCTCGACTGTAAGCCCCCAGCAAAACCAGCCTGCACAACAGACGCCGACTGTCCATCGCAGTTGGGCTGCATCAACCAACTGTGCGTCAACCCTTGCCACCAAGGCAACCTTTGCTCAATTGAGCAGGAATGCCGCGTGGTGGACACAGTCCCACTACGTACCATCATGTGCGCCTGTCCCTCTGACCAAATCATCGACACCTCCGGACATTGCCGAGCAATTGTTCGCGAACAACCCCAATGCCTACAGGACAGCGATTGCGCTGACTCGGACAGGTGCTTCAGTGGGAACTGCGTGGACGCCTGCCGTTTGGACAGTTGCGGAGTCAACGCCATTTGCCGAGCGGCCAATCATCTGACGCAATGCGTCTGCCCGCCCGAGTACACCGGAAATGCTCGTGTAGAGTGCACGAACGTCCCGAGACATCCCAGCGTGGTGCCCCAGCCCGAATGCGCCCTCGACGACGACTGTCCTTTGGATAAGGCCTGCAGACAGAGCATTTGCGTCAATCCCTGCAGATCAGACAAGCCTTGCGGCAATAACGCCTTCTGCTCAGTTAACCGCCATCAAGCTGTTTGCAGATGTCCAGAGGGATACATTGGACGACCAGAAGTCGAATGTCTAGCACGTAAGTTGAACAGTTCCCCCAAAAAATCGGCGTCCCACTTCATAAGCACCTTGATGATTTCAAACTTGTTCCAGCCCCTACTGCCCCCGCCATTGGTTGCACCACAAACTCCGACTGCCCTCTGAGCGAATTTTGCCTGAACAAGCTCTGCATTAGTCCCTGCAATTGCGGCCCCAACGCCGACTGCAGAGTGACCAACCACTATGCCACATGCTTCTGCCAAGCCGGATACTCGGGCAATCCCCAGACTGGATGCTTCAAATGTAGGTAACTGACTGTCGAGCTGACCAAGCAATTACACGGTTTATGTTGCAGTGGGCTGCCAATCAGACAGCGAATGTGCAGATGATCAACAGTGCTACAACGCACAATGCGTGAACCCCTGCATCCTGAACGATCCCTGCGCTACGAACGCCGAATGCTTCGGGCGCAGCCACAAGGCGAACTGCAGGTGCAGCTCGGGCTACAGCGGCGACCCGTTTATGCGCTGCGAGCGGCTGGAGTGCTACTCCAACCAAGACTGCCCCAGCAACAGGGCCTGCATAGAAAACCGCTGCATTGATCCATGCTCCTCAATTGCAAACGCGCGCTGCGCTCAGAACGCCGAATGCTTCGCTCAGAACCATGCTGCCGCCTGCGTGTGCCCCGACCATTTGCCCGAAGGCAACCCCATGGCTTACTGCTATGCGAGAACGGTCGCAGACCAACCTCTGTGTGTATACGACTCAGATTGCCCCAGTAAGCTGGCCTGTATCAGAGAGCAATGCGTCAACCCGTGCACCAGCATTTCGCCCTGCCATCCCACTGCCAGCTGCAGTGTGATCGATACCACTCCGGTGCGAACAATGGCGTGCACTTGTAGGGAAGGTTGGGTGCCTAACGATAACGGCGAATGCCACGCCATTCTCCTGCCAATGCCGCCAGGATGCAGCAAGGACGACGAATGTTCCCCCAACGAGTCCTGCATCAACCGAGTGTGCAGAAACCCGTGCGATTGTGGCGTGGACGCCATCTGCGACGTGCGCAACCACAAACCCATCTGCTCCTGCAAAGAGGGCTTCGAGGGCAACCCCAACATCTTCTGCCGCACCATCGGTTGCAGGATTGACTCGGAGTGCGATTCGGGCACCGCCTGCATTAATGGCCAGTGCGTAAGCCCGTGCCTGGTTAAGAACCCGTGCGGGGCCAATGCTGAGTGCTTCGTCAACCGCAATGCTGCAGAGTGCCGCTGTCGCAGCGGCTACCGCGGCAACCCCTTCGAAAGGTGCCTGGTGATTGGATGCGCAGCCAACAGCGACTGTCCAGACGACCGCCAGTGCGTCAACGCGCAGTGCATCAATCCCTGCCTATACGACAACCCATGCTCGTCGCGTGCAGAATGCCTAGTGCAGAACCACATGGCGCTGTGCAAGTGCCCGCCCGGCCTGCTAGGCAACCCCTATGTGGATTGCCGGGCGCAGCCCCAACCAGAATGTCGCGAGGATGGCGATTGCCCAGCGCAGCTGGCCTGCCTCAACAGCAAGTGCCAAAACCCCTGCTCGGCGATCGAGCCCTGCCACAACCCAGCCAGGTGCCAGGTGGTGAACTCCCTACCAGTGCGCACCATGAACTGCGTCTGCCCGCCGGGCTACATCAGCAGCGGCAGCGGCACTTGCAAGCCAGCCACCGCAATCACGAAGGCGGCCTGCGTTTCGGACGGCGAATGCCCCTCCGACCGGGCCTGCTTCAACGGAATCTGCCGCAACCCTTGCGACTGCGGCCCGAACGCCGAGTGTCGCATCAAAGACCACAAGCCCATCTGCGCCTGCCAGCCCGGCTACGAAGGCAACCCTGAGATCGGTTGCCGAACCGTCGGTTGCCGGAGCGACGACGAATGCTCGGGGCAACACAGCTGCATCAATCGGCAATGCGTCCCAGTGTGCCTGCCCGACCTCGACCCTTGCGGCGCCAACGCCACCTGCTACGGCAACCGCCATCGGGCAATCTGCGATTGCCTGCCGGGCCGTGTCGGCAATCCCCGTGTCGCATGCGTGCTGGTCGGATGCCGCTCCGACTCCGAGTGTCCATCGGGCACCGCCTGCATCAACAACGAGTGCAAAGACGCGTGCGTCGAGGTCGATCCATGCGACAAACCGGCCACTTGCAAGACGTTCAACCACATCTCTGAGTGCATCTGCCCGCCAGGCACGGTGAGTGATGGCGAAATGGGCTGTTTGACACCGGAGGTGGCCTGCACTTACGACCACGACTGCCAGTCGGGGTTGGCCTGCATCGGCAACGTTTGCCAGGACACGTGCCTTACGACGCGACCCTGCGGAACCAACGCCGACTGCAAGGTGGTCGACACCGAACCCGTTCGGACGATGGTTTGTGAATGTCTGCCTGGATATCATGGCAATGCCGCAGTCAAATGCGAAAAAGGTTAGTGAGATTATTAGTCAAAGTTCGTATGTGTGGGGTTGCGCTGTTGCGGTGCTGGCACTCTCTAAGTCATCGATAGTTTTTATGAGTTACGTTTAACCGTTACCACCGCAATAAAGAGGCCCACTGGCTGAATTGTGACGTCACTTAAAGTAGTCCGACCAGGCATAACGCCTCGCGGAGCATATGATGGATCAACTGTACGAATATGAATATTTTATGATTAGCCTTTCTATTCCCAAAAAATGAACGTAGTTAACTGGCCAAAAATATTTTAGTTTCAGTTATTGCTTAATATTTCATGTTTCCTTGTTTTCATGTGTCATTTCTTTTGTCACAATCATTTTTTAAAAGAGTATTGGTGACAGAATTTATGATAATCTTTACCGAGCTTATAGTACTATGCAGATCACATTGGGGAAATTCTGTTAGCAAATGATTATCTGTTATGTATTGTAAAGTTGTTGGTGATAAAACGCCTTTTATTGTGTACTGCTAAAAAGTTATCTTCATCACATTCCAAGATTTTGTTGAAAATGAGATAACCATTCAAAACGATATTCATTACATGGTCTTTTGGAAATTTAAGCTTACCCCTACTCAAATTTTTAATGAGTATGTGATTGTCTTCAACTTCTATTTGATCTGTAAATCTTAAATTTGACTGGCATATTTGGCATTTAAATTTCTTGGACAAAATGTAACAACAATATCCTGCTAGGTAGGTTATGACAGGCATATCATGTTCCCCATTTTCCAACTCACACCGAGAAATTTGTGAATTTGGGACAAACCATTCCGACTTTGAAATTGTCTCGTTGTCAAAAATATCATCACTTTCATAAAAATGTTTTATTGGTATAAAGCAACGAGATTTTAGCGACATCAATGACTGGATTCGAAGTTTTTCTCGCACTCATATAATTGCCGAATGGAAATATTGTACTTCACCCCCCGCTAATTGCCTGTATTTTCCAAACCTATTTTCAAGAGGATCAGTTTGAAATTTTCCGAATAACAAATAATTCATAATAAGTTCCTTGAAACAAAATGATACGATTTCTAACATGCCATAACTAGTGTGACGTAAAGCTATGGATGTTTGAGGAGTTAAAGTTTTTGAAAAATGTTCTGATTTTATCCAATTATCCAGCCATGTTAACATTTTGTGCAGAAATATAAGTTTCGGATCATTTGCTCCAGCCGTAGCTGTTATAGGCTCTTGATATAAATCATTAAGACGTTTCCCTTTATGCGGTGTTTTTACATTTACGATGTTCCACCAAGTCAATATAATGTTAATAAAATCAGCTGAATCTTTTGAATAAGCTATCTTAGAGCCAAACTGTAA